TTGAAGGAACGAATAATTGAAAAACGAAAGACTAAAAATTGAGATATTTAAAAATCGAAAAAGTGGAAAATCGGAAAAACCAAACATTGTGAAATCGAAATAAATATTGAAAACTAAAGAAATCGAAAAATGGCATCATCAAAAAATTTTAAAAACCGTAAAATTAAAGATTTTAAAATTGGAAAAGCGAGGAACTAAAAATTGGTCTAAAGAGTTTAGACAGTACTTCCCTCGCTGTCGGAAACTTGACGACTGCATGCTTATTGTGTTTTTTTTCTCATTACATTTTTGTAGTGGGAATTTAAAAAAAAATTGCGATGACGTCATCAACATTTTTGCAAGGACACGTATATCAGTTGGGATAGATGTAGTGTAATACTAAGAATAAAATTATTATATTCTCAAATTTTCGGGAAAATGAATTGGGTCGTTTGAATATTGATTTGTAATAATCAATAAAATAACGAAACAATTTACTCACGTATACCTACGTATCAGAGGCAACTGAAAATCGTGTATGTATAAACATTGTTAATTTAAGATGACAGGCGTAACAGCATACGTGAGAGCCAAACACAGAAACTGTAAACAAAACGACCGTCGGTTTTATTGCTTCGACTTCCGCTTATTATATAAAACATTGGGTTTTATTTTAATTCTTGACGGTGAAATTCACAATTGGTTGATTATAAACATGTCTATTTCACATTCGCGGAATCAAGTGAACGCATAAAACAAATGCAGGTCTGTAATGTTAAAGTCGATGTAAATAAGCGTGCTACCCTTATGTTTCAACCGAGTTTTTCCTTTAACAAATTTTGTGTCTACCAAATTGGGTTGGTTGGGGTGTAATACTAATAATAAGTGTTGCCTTTAATTTAATCAATAAAATAAATTGACTTCATTAATTTTTTTGAACCACCTCTTAAGAAAATCTAAAAAATATGAATGGAATGATAAATCACAAGTACAAACTCATCATATTTTTTGCATTTTAGATAGGATTTATTCAGCAAAATTTAAGGGTGACGTCATCAATTTTTTTAGGAGGGATGAACAAATACATTTTGAACAAAAGTTTACCATGCTTATAATAACTTTAAAATATTCCCAAGATTTCAAAGCATTCGGTTTTGTAATTCCTGATTAAATCGATAAAATAAATTCACGCCTTCATTAATTTTTTTGAGTCACCCTGCATATGCAAATCCAAAAATATGAATGGAATGATAAATCACAAGTACAGACTCATCATATTTTGTACATTTTAGATACGATTTATTCGGAAAACTTTTGAGCTGACGTCATCAGTTTTTTGTAGAAGATAACCAAATATATTTTGACTAAAAATTTATTATGCTTTTTATAACCTTAAAACATCTGCAAGATTTCAAAGCATTCGGTTTTGTAGTTCCTGATTAAATCAATAAAATAAATTTACGCATTCATTAATTTTTTTGAGTCACTCTGTATATGCAAATCCAAAAAATATGAATGGAGTGATAAATGACAAGTACAGGCTCATCATATTTTGTACATTTTAGATATGATTTATTCGGCAAACTTTCGAGCTGACGTCATCAAGTTTTTGGAGGGGATAAGCAAATATATTTTGACTAAACATTTATTATGCTCTTTATGACCTTAAAACATCTGCAAGATTTCAGAGCATTCGGTTTTGTAGTTCCTGATTAAATCAATAAAATATATTTACGCATTCATTAATTTTTTTGAGTCACCCTGTATATGCAAATCCAAAAAATATTAATGGAGTGATAGTTCACAAGTACAGACTCATCATATTTTGTACATTTTAGATATGATTTATTCCACAAACTTTTGAGCTGACGTCATCAAGTTTTTGGAGGGGATAAGCAAATATTTTTTGACTAAAGATTTATGATGCTCTTTATAGCCTTAAAACATCTGCAACATTTCAAAGCATTCTGGTTAGCAGATTAAAAATTAAATTTCAAAATGTTGTTTTATAATTTTGATTTTTTTTCCAAAAATCTGGACCTTTCGGGTGAAAAGTCGATTCAGAGTTGTAAACTACATGTGTAGGACTATGTTATTTTATACAATTGAAAACCCATTTAGTATGTACAATTTTGAAGTGACGTCATCGCTTTAGTGGTGGGGATGATTCGACAAATTTTGGTTAGCGTTTTACCATCTACATGATATTCTTAATATAAGTACAAAATTTCACAACAATCGGTCGAGTACTTTCGGAGATTATCTGTCTAATAAAAATCCGTGACAACAGACGGACAGACGGACAGACGGACAGACGGACGGACAGACGGACAGACGGACAGACGGACAGACGGACAGACGGACAGACAGACGGAAATGGGAGACCTATTTCTTCGTCTTCTAGGGGTCATGAAAGATCGAGAAAACGTAAAAGTAGAGAGTCGGCCGACGGACTCGATTACAATACTTCCTTTGCTTACGCTCGGGAAGTAAAAAATCAAAGATTTAAAAATTGAATGAACAAAAGATTATAAAATTGAAAGAAACATTGAAAAATAAAGGAAATGAAAAAGCGAGAAAATCAAAACTAAAAAATCCGGAAAATAAAACATAAATATCAAGAAACTGAAAAATTGAGGAAACGGAAAATTGAAATTTTGAGAAATTTAGAAACCGAAAATGTGGAAAATTGAAAAACCGAAATATTCAAAATTAAAGAAATAGGAAAATTGCATAATTGACAAATCCAAAAAATGGAAAATTGAAAACTTTAAAAGTTGGAAAAGCAAAAAATTAAAGATGGAAAATTATAAAAATTGAATAAACGAAAAATTATAAAATCGAAAAAACTATGAAAATATAAAGGAAATGAAAAAGCGAACAATTGTGATATAAAATCGAGAAAATGAAAATTAAAAAATCGGGAAAATGAAAAATAAAAATCTAGAAATTGAAAAATTGAGGATACGGAAAATTGTGAAATTTAAAAGTGGAAAATCGAAAAATCGAAATGTTGAAAATTTAAAAAATCTGAAAATTGCATAATTGAGAAATCCAAAAATTGGAAAATTGAAAACTTTAAAAGTTGGAAAAGCAAACAATTAAAGATGGAAACTTATAAAAATTGAATAAACGAAAAATTATAAAATCGAAAAAAACTATGAAAATATAAAGGAAATGAAAAAGCGAAAAATTGTGATACAAAATCGAGAAAATGAAAATTAAAAAATCGGGAAAATGAACAATAAAAATCAAGAAATTGAAAAATTGAGGAAACGAAAAATTGAAAAATTGTGAAATTTAAAAACCGAAAAAGTGGAAAATCGAAAAATCGAAATGTTGAAAATTAAAAAAATCTCAAAATTGCATAATTGAGAAATCCAAAATTTGGAAAATTGAAAAATTTAAGAATTGAAAAACCAGAGAATTGAAAAATTGAATAAACCAATAATTATAAAATCAAAAAAAACATTTTAAAGGAAATGAAAAAGCGAAAAACTGTGATATAAATTCGAGAAAATCCAAATCAAGAACTTGAAAAATTGAGGGGATGAAGAAACGAAAAATTGCGATATAAAATCTACACGAGGAAAATTAAAAAATCGGGAAAATGATAAATTGTAATATATAAAAATTGAAAAAACGAAAAAGTATCAAATGAAAACTTTGAAAAAACTAAAAATTGGAAGTAAAGAACTTGAAAAATTGAAGAAAAGAATAATTGAAAAATCGAAAGATTAAAAATTGAGAAATGTAAAAACCAGAAAAGTGGAAAATCGAAAAAAACGAAATATTGTGGAACAAAAATATTGAAATTTATAGAATCAAAAAGTCGCATGATCAAAAAATTTAAAAAACGCAAAATTGAAAAATTTAAAATTTGGAAAAGCGGGGAACTGAAAAATAACAGATTGAAAATTTGAAAAAATAAAGGAAATGAAAAAGTGAAAAATTGTGATATAAAATCGACAAAATAAAAATTATAAAAACGAGACGATGAAAATTAAAAAATCGGAAAAAAATTGTAATATCGAAAAATTGAAAAATGAAAGAAAATGAAAAAAGGAAAAATTAATATCAAAAAATTGTAAAATCGAAGAAAAAGGAAAATCGAAAAATTCTGACAAAAAATTAGTCGAAGCTCAGTAAATAAATTCAGATTTTTTGAAAAATTACAAGATTTTATTTTGCGAATTTTATTTTATAATGGAAATCCTAAGTTTAAAATAAAAATATGTATTTAATATTAAAGTAAATGTAAAGTTTGTTTCAAGTGAATTTTTCCATTACAAAATTTTGTGATAACGCTATCAACATGTTTGCAAGGACATTTATATCAATTTGAATAGATGTCTAGACTAATACTAATGATAATAATAATAGTACTGCATTTCCAAATTTTCGGGAAAATGGAGTGAGTCGTTCTTAACTTAATTAATGCAATAAATTGCCTCATTCATTAATTTTTTTGAGTCATAGGTCCAGTAATATTAAAACTATTAGCTCAAAAAGAAGAAACAAACACAATTTTAGAGCATGAAGCTCAAAATTAGAAAAAGTCCTCTTTTTTTTAAGTTTTAAATAGTTGGATTTTTTAAAATTTGCGGAATATTGTCGTGATTGGTACAAGTATTAAATTGTAACATTTGAAAAGTTTTCAGAATTCATTACTGCATAAATATTAATTCGTTTTTTTGACATTTATTCTATTTGTTACTTGACAGTGATATTTCTAATGAATACCAATCTTGGAAACAAAAATTACCCCAGTTCTATTACGAAATCTAATTAAGCTATTAGAGCACTCAGTTTGGACAAGTAACCGTTTTAATTAATTTTAGAACCAATTTTCACTTTCTTAACACACGTTCTTTCATGTATTAATTTTTAAACAATAAAATTTTACGTTGTTAATCAACAAAGCACTTGGCTTCTACCAAAAAAAAACTAGTTTTTTCACATTTCTGGACTTAAATATAAAACAAAAATAAAAAAAGCTAAAACTAAAAATTTCGACTTACCGGTGAACACAGAAGCAGTTTCAGCCTTTCGTGCGCATCCTGTCCTTTCTTGGGCCTGATCAGCAGGTAGATTTTGGCGACCCCCGGACACGACCTGAGCAGCTTCTCCAGGAGCACTTTGCCCATGAACCCGGTGCCGCCGGTGATGAAGACGGTCTTTCCGCTATAAAACTCACTCACTCCGCTGTGCGAAGAAGCCGCGTCCTGTATGGCAGCCATCTCCTCCGCGAGCGTCCTCTCAGACACCATGTATAACAAATACCCCGAATCGTCGAAAAAGGCTCAAAAAACGTCCATCAACAATATATCCTCTGGTAAAACTTCAACATTTAATCACTGGAAAGTCGAGGGTCCCTCGCAAAATTTGTGCTTGTTGCTTGGAAGCTGCGGAGCAATTGGAAGTTCACTTTTGGAGGATGGCGCTCTTCAGTTCTTCATTTCTTTCTTCTTTGCGGTGATCCTGCAACGACACCGACATGAGCACTGGACTCGCACGGTTGTACCATTAGAAACGGCGGGTTAGTGGGCTAAGGAAGTAGGTCGAGTGAATCAGAAGATCTTCTAGAAGGTCAATGTCTTCCGTTAGAGCCGCAGCGAGCGTCCCACAGGGAAAACGCCGCCGAAAATTTGCGCCTTTTTGCGGATTGTGGGAATTGGAAAGTGCGACAATGGAAATTATAACAGTACTAGACGGTACTGTTAGCGCAAGGACGCAGTTACGCAGGTTATTTTCATTTTTAATTAGCAATTGTAGTCCTGGTGGGACCTCAGGTGGTTGAGTTAACGCGAATATTTTTAATGGGATTTATTGATAATTCATTTACGAAGTAGAATTCTTACTGGTTCGAGAAAATTCATCAGCAAGAAGCTAATAATTAATCTGATAGTACACATGGAAATTTCAATGAGGGAAATAGGCGGCAAAAAACTACGTAATGAAGGTTATTGTCGTTGTTTAGTACTGATTTACACTCTAATTCTTATCTTAGGTTTTTTCTTGGTATCTGTTAAGGTTTCAATGTACGCTTTATCTTTCACTGCACTTTGAAAGTTTAAGTGCAAAACGTGTGACGGAAATGTTGGTAGATACGTAATACAAATGATAAACTCAAAAACAGTTACGAACTATAAGTCAAAAATTATACAATTAGATTTTGCGATGTTTATTTTGCGATAACCACTATAAAGTTAAAACGGCGTAAATAACACCCTCGCAGCCCCTGCGCCGTGGGGGCGCAAATTCCAAGGGGACGCCCGGGCTGATCTAGATTTTCTCACTTTCCTTAACTTAAAGATTTGGCAAAACTGGTGGAAAAATCCACCAGCCATCAGCCATCTGCAGCTGCCATTTCTTCTTCTGGAATTAAGGTGGGAAATAATTGCAATAATTGCACCATTAATTTTTATTAAAATAAATAATTTGAATGATTATTATTACTGTTATTATTGTCATTGTAGTTATTATAGTTAATTACGTAATAAGCTTTGTAATTTCCGAAGATTAAAATTTGAATTGAATGCCACATTTTTTTTACTAGTGTTATAGTCTATTTGTTAAAACAATTTTATTGTCACTAAAATTCCAATGGAATCCAATAAACAGTTAATAATACATAATCTCGATTGTAATCTTACTCAATCTATTCGCATTAACACCGAGCGAACAATAAAACCCATCAAAACCAGCCAAGGCTTTTTGAAGATTTGTCTTTGATAGAATTTTCGTCTTGTCAGATTACCGTGAACTTAAAATTTGAGTTTAAAATGCAACGATCAGACATATTTTCAAAAATTCGTGTCTGTTTTTGATCGTAGTTTTTATTGCTCTCTCGGTGTAAGATATAAGGAGGGAAACGCTCCCTCGGTATCTCATTAAATAGCATACATTAAAGTCATTTTAGACTATACAGAATGTTCCGATTTCGAGACACAGCACAAAATTTAGTTTTTTTTTTATAGAACACCTATTTTACATATATTCTAATTAACTCCTCCAAGGCTTTCTACACCACTTTTTCCCAATGCGACGTTGCCACGCAATGACGTTGTTTTTAAGGTCTGTGTTACAGTATTTTATGAGGGTTGGAATATTCACGATTTTTCTTTTATTTTTTTAACATATGTGTATTCAGTTTTTGATAGCGCTTTAATTTTTTTTTATCCACGTCTTGTTTCTGAGAGTTTTGAGCAATATAGAGATTTCATTTATATTTACGTTATTAAATAAAAATTGAGCCGGACTGATAAACTACAAATTTAGGACTGCTCAGTTTAAATACGTCATCAAATTGATGGTAGGAATAACCAAACAAATTTTGGTTAGCATTCTCCCACCTGACGATTTTTCTAAAATACAAATAAAACAATCAGTCCGATAGTTTCGGAGATTATCTATCTAAAGAAACCGGCACAGACATGAGGCGACAGACGGAAAAGGAGGACCTATTTTTTCATACTCTAAAAAAGTAAGAAAATTAATGTCCTATTTTATTGAAAATATTTTATTCTAACCAGTGTTCAATTTATTTTGATTTAAGTTGCATTAAAAGAGGTCGTAATTTGCATTCTATTTCCGAAATTTAACAAGAAGATTAAACAAAAGTGCGGTCTTTGTTATGGCATCAATTAAATATAATTTTAATTAGTGTTTATAAAAAAAATTAAAGTTTACAATTTTTGAACATCGAATTTCAGTTTTTTTCTCTATTTTTTGTTCTTTTTCTTTCAAAACGTCAGCATTTCCTTAAAAAAGTAAAAAACCTCAACTTTAAATATAAAAAATACAGTTGGGTCCTCCGAGAAGGTTTCACATTAAAAAACAAGACATTTGGGCCTCCCAAGCGGTTTTACATTTAAAAAAAGACAGTTGGGACCGTCGAGACGGTTTTACATTTCTAAAAAAGACAATTGGGGCCCCGGAGAAGGTTTCACATTCTTAAACAAAATACATTTGGGGCCCGCGAGAAGGTTTTACTTTTTTAAAAAAGACAGTTGGGAACCCCGAGAAGATTTAATATTCTTAAAAAAGACACTTGGGGCCCTCGAGAAGGTTTCACAATTTAAAAAAAAAACCTTGGCGCCCCTGAGAAGGTTTTACATTAAAAAAAAAAAAAAGACAAAGAGGACCCAGGAGAAGGTTTCACATTTTTAAACAAATACATTTGGGGCCCCCGAGAAGGTTTCACATTAAAAACCAAGACATTTGGGCCTCCCAAGAGGTTTTACATTTAAAAAAGACAGATGGGACCGCCGAGACCGTTTTACATTTCTAAGAAAGACAATTGGGACCCCGGAGGATTCACATTCTTAAAAAAATTGATTTGGGGCCCCCGAGAAGGTTTTACAATTTTAAAGTAGACACTTGGGAGCCATGAGAAGATTTAATATTCTTAAAAAAGACACTTGGGGCCCTCGAGAAGGTTTCACAATTTAAAGAAAAAGCCTTGGCGCCCCTGAGAAGGTTTCACATTTTTAAAAAAGGCAGTTGGAAGCTATGAGAAGATTTAATATTCTTAAAAAAGACACTTGGGGCCCTCGAGAAGGTTTCACAATTTAAAAAAAAAACTTTGGCGCCTCCGAGGTTTTACATTAAAAAAAAAAGACAAATGGGACCCAGGAGAAGGTTTCACATTTTTAAACAAATACATTTGGGGCCCCCGAGAAGGTTTTACATTTTTAAAAAAGACAAATGGGACCCAGGAGAAGGTTTCACATTTAAAAAAAAATCCATTTGGGGCCCCCGAGAAGGTTTTGCATTTTTAAAACAGGCAGTTGGGAGCCATGAGAAGATTTAATATTCTTAAAAAAGACACATAGGGCCCTCGAGAAGGTCTCACAATTTAAAAAAAAAACTTGGCGCCCCTGAGAAGGTTTCACATTTTTAAAAAAGGCAGTTGGAAGCTATGAGAAGATTTAATATTCTTAAAAAAGACAGTTGGGGCCCTCGAGAAGGTTTCACAATTTAAAAAAAAAACTGGCGCCTCCGAGATTTTACATTAAAAAAAAAAAGACAAATGGGACCCAGGAGAAGGTTTCACATTTTTAAACAAATACATTTGGGGCCCCCGAGAAGGTTTTACATTTTTAAAAAAGACAAATGGGACCCAGGAGAAGGATTCACATTTAAAAAAAAATCCATTTGGGAACCCTGAGGTTTTACATTTTTAAAAAAGACAGTTGGGAACCCCGAGAAGATTTAATATTCTTAAAAAAGACACTTGGGGCCCGCGAGAAGGTCTCACAATTTAAAAAAAAAAACTTTGGCGCCTCCGAGGTTTTACATTAAAAAAAAAGACAAATGGGACCCAGAAGAATGTTTCACATTTTTAAACAAAAACATTTGGGGCCCCCCGAGAAGGTTTTACATTTTTAAAAAAGACAAATGGGACCCAGGAGAAGGTTTCACATTTAAAAAAAATACATTTGGGGACCTTGAGGTTTTACATTTTTAAAAAAGACAGTTGGGAGCCCCGAGAAGATTTAATATTCTTAAAAAAGACACTTGGGTCCCCCGAGAAAGTTTCGCCTTTTTTAAAAAAGGACAGTTGGGACCCCCGAGAACGTTTTACATTCTTAACAAAAGACACTTGGCGCCCTCGAGAAAGTTTTACATTTTTAAAAGACACTTGGGGCCCCGAAAAGGTTTCGGTTTCTTTAAAAAAAGACAGTTTGAACCCCCGAGAAGGTTTCACATTCTTAAAAAAATACATTTGGGGCGCCTGAGGTTTTACATTTTTAAAAAGACAGTTGGGGCTTCCGAGAAGAGTTTCGTTTTCTTTAAAAAAGGACAGTTGGGACCCCCGAGAAGGTTTCACATTCTTAAAAAAGATATTTGCCGCCCCCGAGAAGGTATTACATTTTAAAAAAAAACACTTGGGACCCCCGAGAACACTTCATATTAAAAAAAAGACATTCGGGATACCCGAGAAGGTTTCACAATTCAAAAAAAAAAACGTTGACGCCCCCGAGGTTTTACATTTTTAAAAAAGACAAATGGGACCCCCGAGAAGGTTTCACATCAAAAAAAAACATTTGCCGCCCCCGGGGTTTTACATTTTTAAAAAAGACACTTGGGACTCCCGAGAAGACTTCATAGTAAAAAAAGGACATTCGGGACTCCCGAGAAGGTTTCACAATTCAAAACAAACCTTTGGCGCCCCCGAGGAGGTTTTACATTTTTAAAAAAGATAGTTGCGATCCCAAGAAGGTTTTAGAATTAAAAAAAAGACACTTGGACCCCGGAGAAGGTTTCACATTAAAAAAAAATACATTTGGGGCCTTCGAGAAGGTTTTACATTTTTAAAAAAGACAGTTGGGACCCCCGAGAAGGTTTTACATTTAAAAAGAGACAGTTGGGACCCAAGGGAAGGTTTCACATTCTTAAAAAAAAACCATTTTGGGCCCCTGAGGTTTTACATTTTTAAAAAAGGCAATTGGGACCTCCGAGAATGTTTCACAATA